CACATTTTGACTGAGTAACAGTAAGTTATTAGGTGGTATTTATCTGACGCACGCTGTTTGACTTGAAAATTGGTGCCTCTGTAACAAGAATGGCGGTTCTACGCCCTGCAGGATGAACAAGGCACTTGCGTTTCTTCTTTGCGTTTAAGTACTGTTGCGAACGACGGCCTCCGAAATCCCACCGCTGCCACCACTGTTGCGAAAGACGGCGACGCCAACACGGTCCCGAAGGCGCCACTGCTTCGAACTCCGCCGGAAAGGTCACCTGCCGTTTGATAGCGTAGGTTTCTCAGCTCGTGACTGCTTCTGCGCAAAGCTGATAGACGAGCGGACGAGACGACGGTGAGTTTAAACAAGGTTTATGTACAGCATATATATAGAGGCGTTACAAATTCGGCACTGGGGCCGACAGAGACTCGAAAAGCCGAGCTCTCCTCTCTAACACATAGGCCTCCTCTCAAACGGGTCCGCTCTGACACACATGTCAGCTTTCACCTAGGACCACCGACCGCGACGCGCCGCAGGGCTTCTTTTATTTGCACCGGGTCCAACCAAAATGTCCAATCAGAAGCGCCGCTGGTCGTCAGGGCAGACTCCTCCAATGGGGTCGCCGCGCAATGCGTCAGACCCCCAGACATGAAGACGCCAGTTGTTTACTCAACGGGTCGCTTGCCGAGGCTGACTCACTGCACGTGCACGCCAGAGAGGCGCCGTTGAGTTGTTGATCGCGTCAGGCGGACTGGCCTTGACACAGATTGCCTTTTTCAGAGGCACGGCCGTTCGCTGTGGACTCGCAGGCATAACAGCACCCCCGCCGCCAGACAATGCGCCCAAAAGACGAGCTGCTTCCACGGGGCTCGGATGACAGGTGCGCTCGTTCGCCAGGTCCCTCCAGGTTCGCCTCCAGGACCATGGGGAGAATGCAGCTCCAGACTCTGTTCCGGGAACACATCCCACTCTTGACGACAGATCCCAGCTCCACTGGCTTGTCGCCACAACTTGCTGGCCAACTTCGCTCGTCTCTTCTGACCATCTTCGGTTTCAGCACTTGTCGATGGTTCTGCAACTTGCTAAGAACGGTTCGACAACAGACAACACACGACACAAGCAAGTGCCCTCGGTCACCCAACAGAACACCAGACAAAGTATAGTACAACATATACCTATCTACGTGTCTATCGGAATGTGCCCTCTACATCAAGAGGCACATGTGGGACACAAGACTCTTAAAGTAAGAACTTGAATTTTTCACACTTACAACAACGCAACGAATTAGAATACCACATAAAGTTGGCCCCTTGAGATCACTCTGAACGAGAGCGCTCAGCCCAGGTCGTGATGAGGTCAAAATTTTGCCCCGAATCGCCAGCGGGAAACCGAAAGGTTGAGAAGGTACTAGCTAGAACGCACTGCTCAATGCACCTGCATGAGCGTTTAGCTTCCCCCCCCCCCCTTTTTTTTGATAGCGAACGTCAAAGTTGCGCTGTGGAGCAACATGCTCCACCTCAGTAACCGGCCACTTTTAGGCGACGATACCTATGCGGCACCAAGAGCGGCTCACACTTGCGACGTTGCACAGGAGAACAACGATAACGATACGGCTTGCTACGGATTGACTCCTCATCGCTTAGCTCGATATCGTGTTCGATCACCGTCGTGTTTCCGGGGCGGTCCGAAAACACGTCTCCAAACTAGGAAACAATCCTTCTCGGGTCCTCCTTCCGGGCTTCACTTAACCTAGGCTCTAGGTTTATTTGCTCCCAGATTACTTTCGATCCCCCTTCGATTACCTCACTAGTACTCAAAACTTCCGCTCCCTCTTCCTCTGAAGCACTTAAAAGTAAATTTACGACTGCTTTCAAGTTACTGTGATAAATTTTGTTCCACCGCCTTCCTAATTTCACTTCATAATTCGTATCGGGAAGCTTCAATATCACTTTGGCGGGCCCTTCCCAATGAATCTCAAGCTTGTTCCTTTTGGACGGCTGCAGCAGCATTACCTGATTATCAACTTCAAAAGCGCGCTTCTTCACCGATTTCTCGTAGTGCTCCTTCGACAGCACTTGTGCCGCGTTTTTGTGGCTTTCCACTAGCGCTTCAATCGAGAGATCCTCACGCTGCTCTCGAATGAGCGTCTCTCGATCAACTCTCGGCAGCTCGCTCCAACTTTCCACTACAGGCGAGAGCGTTGCAACCCTCTCGCTCTGACTCAATGGCGCCATGTCGTCTCCCCCTACGCATACCTCGCCGGCCGCTTCCGCGACGGGCTGCTCGCGTGACCGCTCACATGACTCATGCGGAAAATTTCCTTTCTGGGGTTCCGTCGACCCACCGACAAGGTCACTTGAGAGTTCACTGCATTGAACCAGATCAAGCTGCCGCGATAGCTTCCGCGCTTGCGATCGCGTGAGGGCCATGCACGCTAAGTTGGGGAAGAACGATTTGCCCTGCTCTTTGAGAAGCTGCTCTGAGTTGTTGGAGAAAAGATAAGGAAAACGATCATTTAGCGGGGCAGACACAGCCGCTTCGGTGCGAAGCTTACCGAACGGGCCTTCAATGACAACCGTGGCGATTGGTAAACAAGCACTCTGCTCCTCGGCGACTTGCCTGATCCATGCGCATTCTCCTGTAAAGTCATCCGGAGACACCAATTAAGGATGGACAACATGAATGGTTGCCGCTGAGTCACGAAGTGCTCGACACGTTTGCCCATTCACACTAATTTCTTGGATATACGGCTCCAACAACCGCATGTTTTCTTCTGATTTTTCTGAGCGGTAGAATTGCTCCAATGCAACGCATTCTACCACTTTATCGCGGTGGTCATAAACACCTTCGCCCTTGAGCCATTCAATTAAATCGGCTTTAAGATGAAACGCGAAGTCAACGTGTGACTCATTCCCCTTTTTAGCATACCGGAACCTTTGCCTGAAAGCCTCGGGTGACAACTTATAACGTCTTAAGAGCACTTCCTTAACCTCGTCATAGCTCTCAAACGCTTCCCTCGACAAGCAAGTTATCGCGTCGGACACTTCGCCGGGAAGAAGAGCTAACAGGTTCCGCGCCCAAAGAGACCGCTCCAACGCGTTTCGCTCACAGACGTGTTCAAACTTGACGAGATACTTCGCCATGTCCTCGCCTACTACGAACGGTGGCAGTTGGTCCCGCATTCTAAAACCGCTGACCTGAGTCGTCGGAGAAGCTACGCTAGGCGCCTGCGAACTTTGTAGGATTGCCAATTCTATTCGTTTCAGCTCGAGGCGCTCCTGTCTCTCGGCCTCCTCGCGACGTTCGCGGCTTTCAGCTTCTTCACGTTCGCGAGCTTCGCGCCTTTCAGCCTCCTCGCGGCGTGCTTTGATATCCACCCAGGCCTCATCGACTTCCTCAGCCGACACTCCCTCATGCTTCATGATCTCAAGGATCGCTTGCTTTCGTTTCGCACGGCCCAAAGTAATGCCGAGTTCCTCACAAATTTCGATGAGTTCCTTCACTTTAAGGTTCTCCATCGTTCACACTCGCCTCTTGCTGTTTGCCCCTGTTAAGAATCTACTTGCCGTACCCACTATAAGCCTACTAGCAAGACGCGCAAGCAATTTTTCACACTCCCGTGTTTACCCCCTCTGCATTAACTTTGGTTTCAAAGCGCTTCGACTTGGCTTGAAACGATCAAAGCTCACTTCAATGCTTCACACAGCCCTTCTCTAAACTACTATAACCTGAGCTAGAGTAGTCTGGTGAACTGAGGGGAAAACATCAGGCACTCACCGCATCGATGTCACTGACGCCGGCCGATCCCGCAGCTGCCAACCACTGTTGCGAACGACGGCCTCCGAAATCCCACCGCTGCCACCACTGTTGCGAAAGACGGCGACGCCAACACGGTCCCGAAGGCGCCACTGCTTCGAACTCCGCCGGAAAGGTCACCTGCCGTTTGGTAGCGTAGGTTTCTCAGCTCGCGACTGCTTCTGCGCAAAGCTGATAAACGAGAGGACGAGACGACGGTGAGTTTAAACAAGGTTTATGTACAGCATATATATATATATATAGAGGCGTTACAAATTCGGCACTGGGGCCGACAGAGACTCGAAGAGCCGAGCTCTCCTCTCTAACACATAGGCCTGCTCTCAAACGGGTCCGCTCTGACACACATGTCAGCTTTCACCTAGGACCACCAACCGCGACGCGCCGCAGGGCTTCTTTTATTTGCACCGGGTCCAACCAAAATGTCCAATCAGAAGTGCCGCTGGTCGTCAGGGCAGACTCCTCCAATGGGGTCGCCGCGCAATGCGTCAGACCCCCAGACATGAAGACGCCAGTTGTTTACTCGACGGGTCGCTTGCCGAGGCTGACTCGCTGCACGTGCACGCCAGAGAGGCGCCGTTGAGTTGTTGATCGCGTCAGGCGGACTGGCCTTGACACAGATCGCCTTTTTCAGAGGCACGGCCGTTCGCTGTGGACTCGCAGGCATAACAGTACACACGACTACGACTAATATACAACAGATTGAAGTTTCGTAGAACACATGCTTATTTTTTGGTGCAAGTTAGCCTGGACACTCTGCATATATACCATGCTTTCTTGACTATTACATTCAAGAAAACAGTCAACAAAATTGTGATAGTAGTGTCCAATTTATGACTTTCTACGGAGGCGTTCAAGCTGCGATTTAAACACAAAGATTAAAAACAGAAAGCTTAACATTCATTTTTTTTCTGCTGGTGAATAAGACATGCAATTATTGCTATGTACATGAAAAAAGAGCCTTGAAAAATATTGTTTTTTAAATAGCCCGTAAGCCCTCTTCTTCATAAAAAAATTTTCCCTTCCAATGAATATTTAGTAGCTCGCCAGAATGCAGCACCTGAAAAACGTGAACGATATCGCTTTGTGCATTGCTGTAGCCCGAAACAGGGCAGTAACCAAGGCTCAAAAGCACTTGTCCTTTGGGCATTTGAACCTAAAGAGATGGTATTCGAAAAATAAATAAGTATGCTGCCTACCTGAGTTAGTTTTGCTGTTGCGACTTCCCACACCTTGAGCGACATGTCTTGCGATCCGGTAACAATGGTTTGGCAGTCGTACGTGACGGTGTAGCACAATATGGCTTCGCTGTGGCTCACAGTCTTTTCGCTATCCGTCTCAAACACCGGCCAATATTTCAAGCTGCGGATAAGAAGGGGGCACAGAAAACGCAACAAGAATGCTTATTCACACTTCCGTTTAATCACGTACATTATAACATTTGTGAATAAATGTAAGCTTCGACCACACCAGTCACAGTTACAACAGAAGCACTATACGCATGGGTGCCCTGTATAAGGGTATTAACTCAATACCATGATGTGAACCGCTATTCGTTGTTTTGTGGCAGGTGATTTCCCCATACAGAGGCATGTTATTGCCGCTCGCTGTGAAGCACAAGCTTGAACCAGATAATGGTTGAACTTTATCGCCAATTTCAGCAAGATTTTTGCATGACTGCCCGGGGCAACGTTATATTTTAGGTAGGAACACTCAAAATTTGACGAATAATAGGCGTAGTATTATACAGCCGTCAAAAAGCACAGACAAAAAGAAAAACATAGAACGACTCTCTTGAGTTGAGAAATGGCAGCCAACCCACAGTCCTGAAGGCAGAGCTCGTATTAGTTCTTAGTTTGTCACCGACTGGAAACACGCTAACTAAAATTTCTCAGCAAGTTAAAATTTCATCACGGGTCTTAAGTGGTGTAGTTAGTTGAATAATTACAGAAACTTCACAACATTTTCTAGAAAAAAGTTAAAAATTCGGAGAAAAACTGTGAGGAGGATGTTGTTAAGAAATATTTCATTGGTGCAGATTGGCGCATTTGTATTGTGGATGAACTAGCAGCGTAGTTAAGGTGATTAACTCAGCCTAATTTCGTACCATTTCATGAGAAATGCTTTGTAGGTAAGGGTGCTCTAACGCACTGTAAATTTGGTTATATCATTGATATTGTGGGTTTCTGTATGATAACCAAGTTTTTTAAAGTGCGTGTTACTACGCGCTTGCCTGCATCACTGTTTGCTTTACATTTTTTTTGTGGCACTTTCCTTCCCCCAAGAAGTTTTTGTGATCTGATAAAACGCGTTCCTAAATTCCATCACGAAAATATTTGCTCAGTCTGCAAAAAAAATTTACATGAAGGGAAAAGACTGATGTTAGCACAGACACTGTTCGTTGCAACGAATAGACTGGAACAAGACTACAACTCTTTCTGCGTTTGAGTTCTTGGGCATAATAATAATAATAATAATAATAATAATAATAATAATAATAATAATAATAATAATAATAATAATAATAATAATAATAATAATAATATTAATAATAATAATAATATAAAAATAATGTGATCCCAACAGCATAACTTTGTTGTCTCACGAACATTTCGAGAAAACATGATTGCAGAAATAAAAAGTCACAGTTTTGCCAAAAGGGAGAAGCAATGAATGCGATAGCAACATATTCAAATGTTTTATGAAGTAAGACATGCACTTGATTAAGTAACCAAGTTTGCTGCAACGTGGCCCACAGTAGATGGCCACAACAAGGTTTGTATGTATACTGACAGCGTTGATGAGAAGCGCCTCTCATGGGCAGTGCATGCTGGTACTAAGGGCTATACGTCGCGTGTCGCCACTGGAGGCAGTTTGTTATGTGTAGAATGCATCTATATTCGGCGAGGCTCTCCCTCGGGTGTGCTCAGAATGACAGTAATGCAAGGCCCATATGGCAAAATAAATACCCATTTAATGACGTGTATCAATTGAAGGCAGAAATATAGTATTCGACAGAAACACTGGTGACTCTAAATGAAACACAGTTCACTCGATGACAGTGACAACCACCTTGTGGTCACTGAAGTATTTTGGCAAATGGCACGCTGTGTGTTCGTGACGCAACACTTTTTCCGTACACTATATCTAGACACGTGTTGTTGCGTGTAGTTGGCTGTGTGACATCAAACAGGAGGTGAATTTCATGTTAAGCATCAAGAAAGGCTACAAGCCACTCATTTTCGCATCGAAATACATTCACAGTAAAGTCTCTTGCGAGGATCACCAGCACATCCTTTTGGCACACCGCACTGAAGTTCTGTAGCAAGAACCTAATGATGTCGTTCCGCAAGGTTCCCGGCGAGATGTAGACTGCTGCAACAGTGAAGCCGCGTCATGTTTTGATGGCACATGCAACACCACACGTCACCTGGGGCAGCGAGTTGAGTTTGTATGGAAAGCTGCGCGGAAAAAGCGTTATCTCGTCGAAGCATTTGTAAATATTGACTCCAGCAGCTCGGCGATTTTGTCGTTTTGCGAGGCTGACGCACTTGCATCCTGGTAATTCGACAGCAGTGTCCATCATCGTTTTTGTGAAGCTTAGTAGAGGTAACTCGAAGACGACATTATCGTGCGATACATCGCCAGCGTGCGCAGGCAACGAGCGTACGTTCATGCTGCAAACTCCAATGTGTGCACTGACTGGAGGTTGGCGAAGCACTTGGCGGTGATTGCATCAAGTAGATGAGTTTCCAATTGGCAAAATCTGTCCGACAACGTGTGATCCGGATTTCCTCTATTGTGGTGAAAGGTGAAGTCCTATTCTGCATTTGTTAAAAACAGTTGTTCCAGAGTGGTAGCTCGACTCAATGCAACATAGACGAGCTTCTGTGCTTGCGTGGAGATACATTGAAGAGGGGCAGCTGAACACATGCGAGAGGGGGGGGGGCTGTGTAAGCACTTGTATACGTATAAGTGGCCATGACTATGCATACGCCTTCGTTGTAGCCTGAAATTTTGAAATGCGCCCAAAGGCGTTCGCTTACGTATGCGGGAGAAGTAAAATGCGCATGGTCGGTAAGTCATGCAGACACGGGCATATAGGCATTTGCGATGTTGCTTTGTCTCTGTCGGTAAATACATGAGACGGTGAGAACGCAGTAAACAGAATTACGTGGCACGCATGTGCTTTTATGTGACACCACACGTTTCAGATCCTTGCCACGCGTACCAGGCTTAAATAACTTGTGACAACCGGCAAAACGTGCATAGCCGCTGGATACTTATGTGGTGTCTCAAGAAGCTTTCTGGGTGGCTACGTGTACACTCGTGCGCTTGTTGTCAAGTGCAGTTCGCGACTGTGGCAGAGATGATTGGTAAAAATCAGTTTCACCGAAAGGTGAAGCCATTAATGTAATAGCGACAAACTGGAATGCTACACGAAATGGGCCTGGCAGTCAACTCATTTAGATCCGATCTCACGTAACTTTGCAAAACGCTGGTGCAAGAGAACACGGCCACTTCAGGTACACTTTGGGCACCGTTTTTTTTTTTCGTGTTGGGAGCGCAGCCCGTAGAAGGTCCCGCCTGCTCTGGGGGCACAATGAGTGCGCTGATGACTGCCACAACATCGCGGCAACCATAGCCCCCCCCCCCCCTGTTTACTCACTTGATAAGCATGCACGCAAACGACCCCGGCCGGAAAGACGATGTTTGCTCCGAAGAAAGAGGAGGCGAGCACATCTTGTCCTGTGTGTATATACATACATATACATAAATGTGAATGACGGTGTCTCCGGCGGTAGCGACGACAGTAAAAACAAGCTTACACTATTCATATATTTGCAATCACGATAATAAATCATCATCATCATCATCATCATCATCATCATCAGCCTGACTACGTCCACTGCAGGACAAAGGCCTCTCCCATGTTCCGCCAGTTAACCCGGTCCTGTGCTTGGTGCTGCCAATTTATACCCGCAAACTTCTTAATCTCATCTGCCCACCTAACCTTCCGTCTCCCCCTAACCCGCTTGCCTTCTTTGGGAATCCGATTTGTTACCCTGAATGTCCAGTGGTTATCCTGTCTACGCGCTACATGCCCAGCCCATGTCCATGTCTTCTTCTTTATTTCAGCTATGATATCCTTAAACCCCCGTTTGTTCCCTAATCCACTCTGCTCTCTTCTTGTCTCTTAAGGTTACACCTACCATTTTTCTTTCCATTGCTCGCTGCGTCGTTCTCAATTTGAGCTGAACCCTCTTTGTAAATCTCCAGGTTTCTGCTCCATAGCTAAGTACTCGCAAGATACAGCTGTTGTATATCTTCCTCTTGAGGGATAGGGGATATCTACCTGTCATAATTTAAGAGTGCTTGCCGAATGTACTCCACCCCATTCTTATTCTTCTAGTTACTTCAATCTCGTGGTTCGGCTCCGCGGTTATTACCTGCCCTGAGTAGACACAGTATTTTACAACTTCAAGTGTACTATTACCTATCTCGAAGCGCTGCTCCTTTCCGAGGTTGTTGTACATTACTTTCGTTTTCTGCAGAATAATTTTAAGACCAACCTTTCTGCTCTCCTTGTCTAACTGCAAAATCATGAGTTTCAGTTCGTCCCCTGAGTTATTCAGCATTGCAGTGTCATCGGCGAAGCGCACGTTACTAAGGTACACTCCATTAACTCTTATCCCTAACTGTTCCCATTCTAGGCTTCTGAAAACCTCCTGTAAGCACGCGGTAACTAGCATTGGGGAGATTGTGTCCCCCTGCCTTACACCCTTCTTGATTGGTATTCTGTTGCTTTCTTTATGAAGCACTATGGTAGCAGTTGATTCCCTGTAGATTTCTTCCAGGATGTTTATATATACTTCATCGACGCCCTGATTCCGCAGTGTCTACATGACGGCTGATATTTCTACTGAATCAAACGCCTTCTCGTAATTTATGAAAGCTATGCATAGTGGTTGGTTACATTCTGAGCATTTCTCTATTACCTGATTGATAGTATGAATGTGGTCGATTATTGAGTACCCTGTTCGAAATCCTGCTTGTTCCTTTGGTTGATCGAACTATAACATTTTATTTACTCTGTTAGCAATTACCTTTGTAAATAGCTTGTATACTACAGAGAGCAAGTTGATCAGCCTGTAATTCTTCAAGTCCTTGTCATCTCCTTTCTTATGTATTAAGATCATGTTAGCGTTCTTCCAAGACTTTGGTACTGTTCCCGTCGGGAGACACCTCGTAAACAGGGTGGCTAGTTTTTCTAACACAATCTGTCCTTCATCTTTCAGCAGATCTGATGTTACCTGATCCTCAACAGGAGCTTTGCCTCTTTGCATGCTCTCCAAAGCTTT